CCAAGGCATTCCTCAAGAATAAGACACCTTCTATTACTTCCAAGAAAAGGGAATGGCAGAATATGTTTTTGTTGATGAAAACCCTTGGAAAGCAGAATAAACCAGTCAGCAATATTCATTCAAGACTGGATGTAACGGTTATAAAAAGATTAAACAGCTGTGTTTGAAAAGAAAGATGCCTCGATGAATGTAGCCATAAGTGAAAGAGGAAGCCGAGAACATCTGCTGACGAAAATCAAGAGAAAATCCAATTAGATGCCTGTGGGAGAAATCTAACCATAGCGGAGATGGTTTGGCTAATGAAAAAGCATTTTATATGCTCTGCCAGGAGTTCAATTTCAAAAATAACCCACATAAATTTCCCGTTCATTGCACGCCAACTGAGAGCTGATATCCTTGAGCAAAACAAGCTACTCTCACTTCTGGCTTCAAAGTGAGTTTTGGATGGGACACCAGCTGCCTTTTAGAACTATGCAGGCTATAAATCAGACAATTCAAATCAATCATCCGGAAGGGGTTTGGAGAAATACTGTTCAGTTCTTCAGAATCACAATCTGGATCTTAAGGAGGGCTTTGATTTTCACCTTCTGTGCCTGGGCCCATTGAGCATACGCAAGGAGGAAGCCAAGGAACTGCTTCAAAAGCCTCTGCCTCAAGAACACTTGATGGCGCCTTCTGCCTATGCAGGTAGTCCTTGACTTGTAACCATTCGTTCAGTTAGTACAATGGTTCTCAACCTTTTTAATGCCGCGACCCCAACCGGTCGTAAGTCGAGGACTAAACCGGTCGTAAGTCAAGGACTAAACCGGTCGTAAGTCGAGGACTACCTAACCGGTCGTAAGTCGAGGACTTTCCCTGCCTGGGAGTGCCGCACATGCGTGGTTCCGCCCCCTGCGCCGGCCGAGGTGTAGCTGGCAAGCGGCAGAGACGGAGCAGGCCGACCACCAGCTGGCCCAGCCCAAGGGAGGTAAGGCACCCGCCGGAAAAGGGGGAAAAAATGGCGGCCAAAAAAATGGCAGACAGCCTTGCTTGCTTGGCGACCCCCATGAAATGGTCGATCGACCCCAAATGGGGTCCCGACCCACAGTTGAGAACCACTGAGTTAGTATCTGAAGTTACAACGGTACTGAAAAAAAAATCACTCACACTTATAACCGTTGTAGCGTCCCCACGGTCACGTGATCAAAATTCAGGAGTTTAGCAACTGGCATGTATTTTTTGATGGTTGCACTGCCCCGGGGTCATGGGATCACCATTTGTAACCTTCCCAGATGGCTTCCCACAAGCAAAGTCAAGGAGGAGGGGGGGGAGCCAGATTCGCTTAATGACCATACAATTCACTTAACAACCGTAGTGATTCACTCAACAACTATGGCAAAATAGGTCGTAAAATGGGGCAAAACTCAATTAGCAACTGCCTGGCTTAGCAGCAGAAATTTTGGACTCCATTGTGGTCGTAAGTCGAGGACTACCTGTAACTAGAACAGTGGTTCTCAACCTGTGGGTCGGGACCCTATTTGGGGTCGATCGACCATTTCACGGGGGTCGCCAAGCAAGGCTGTCCGCCATTTTTTTTGTCCGCCATTTTTTCCCCTTTTTCCGGCAGGTGCCTTACCTCCCTTGGGCTGGGCCAGCTGGTGGTCGGCCTGCTCCGTCTCTGCCATTTGCCAGCTACGCCTCGGCCGGCGCAGGGGGCGGAACCACGCATGTGCGGCGCACCTGGGCAGGGAAAGTCCTCGACTTACGACAGGTTGGGTAGTCCTCGACTTACGACCGGTTTAGTCCTCAACTTACGACCGGTTTAGTCCTCGACTTACGACCGGTTGGGGTCGGGGCATTAAAAAGGTTGAGAACCACTGAACTAGAAGCATCGCTCGTCCCTAAGGATCAATCTCCAATTGAAAAGAGAGAAGATCACCACGATGGGGCAACCACAACAACCACATGCTGAGCTGCTGCACCCACCTCCATTGGCTAGATTACTGAAAACTGTAGTCCAGGGGTCTTCAAACTTAGTCTTTTTATGACTTCTGGACTTCAACTCCCAGAATTCCTCAGCCAGCGAGCCTGGCTAAGGAATTCTGGGAGTTGAAGTCCACAAGTCATAAAAGGGCCAAGTTTGAAGACCCCTGTTGTAGTCAATGGACCCACTTACCCATTAGACACAAGAGGCACAGTGCCTAGGACTCACGAAAAAAAAAATTAAATTCTTTTTAATGCAGAGAGAATAAAAATGAAGTAGAAATGTCATGTCTTGTATTATACAAATACATAAATGCAAATAAAATATACATACAATGCAAATTAAAAGCTTAATCGTACATTAAATGCTACCAAGAAAATTTAATCCTCCTATAAATCTGTTACATTAAATCATAAGAACTTATAAAAGTATACCAGAAAATACTAAAAAAATCACATGAAATGTGTAGTCCTAGCTTAACGACCCCTTATTCAGCAACCATTTGAAGCTAGGATGGAGTTGAACAAGGATACTTACAACCATTCCTCATAGTTGTGGCCATTCCAGCATCCCCAGTCACATGATTGTGATTCAGACACATGGCAACCAGTTTGCAATTACAACAGTCGCAGTGTCCTGTGGTCAGGTGATCACCATTTGTGACCTTCATTGCTGACTTCCGATAAGCAAAGTCAGTGGGAAAACTGGCAGGAAGTCTCAGATGGTGACCGTATGGCAACATGCTTAACAATCGTGCAGGATTTGCTTAACAATGGCAAACGGAACTGCCGCAACTGCCGTTGTAACTTGAGGTCGTCACATGACGTCATGCTTTATGACATCGCTTAGCGACAGAGTTGCCGGTCCCAATTATCAAAATGAGGACAATCTGTATTATTTTTCTAGAGCCGAAGTGGGAAACTATGGCCCCTTTATGATTTTGTGGACTTCAACTCCCAGGATTCCTGAGTCAGCATGGCTGGCTGAGGAATTCTGGGAGTTGAAGTCCACAAGTCATAAAAGGGCCATAGTTCCTCACCCCTGTTCTAGAGGAAGAGGCTCATAAAGACCAAAATGCCTAAGACCCATAAAAGTCATAATGTAGCTCTCCCTGGAGGGCCACTAGTTGCCCACAAGTTCTACTATAGTATGTTCTGCTCAGTGGATTCTTTTCCCCTTCAAGTAAGCTTAATTCAGCAAGGGTCTCCTAGAGCCACAATACATTTCGGCTGTACACTGACTACATTCTTACCTTCACGAAACACCCGATACAGGCCATCCAGGGCATGGGAGTAGCTGGAAAGCAGGAAGAGATAATCAACAGCTTTCATCAAAATTTTTATGTAATTCTGACAGGCACTCACTACCCCAGCAGGCTACTATCAGAGACTTTAATCCCATTTTCTGTCTGAGGACTCTGGAAGATGGGACTTAGGCATCTGTGGTGGGATTGCCACCAATTTAAAAGAGATCTTAACTTGAGAGAATGGATATCTGAAGATCAATGTTGTCCCTCGGTGGTCATGCATATTCAAGAGTCCTTTTTGAACAGAGACAGGCCTCATAGCCTTTCCTTTCCCCAAAGCTCTTCTTTGCCTTCCCCGTATTTGTTCATTTTCTGCATCTGACTACAGCCCCGATACTTACTTGCGTCGCAGGTGTGCCGGCTGCTTAATGTCATTCTGCATTCTGGAAAAGAACATGACAGCAGTGTTGAGACTCAGAAAGATAAAAACACATCTCTCTTCAAGCACTCCACCAGGTAGTTTTGTTTGCTCCAAAAAACCTTAAGAAGTAGAGACACCAGAATGTCCCAAGAGTACAGATTTCACCAAATTGTAGACTTGCTCTTGACAAAATAAAATCCTTCTCTACCCCCAACTAATTTAGGATCCTCCTAAGAATTAACCCACTGAGTTCTGGGGAGAAGAAGGAAAAACTGACCTGACATTCACCATGTCAGCTGGAGTCCCCACGAATCCACCAGTAAATCCTGCAACCAAAGGATAGGAGATGAAAAACGACCACCCAGTCTGATCTGTCCTCACCCTTCCTTCTGTACTTGCCAAGCCCCAGCTCACCTCCTACTGCACCCAGCAGAACCTTCTGGTAGAAGGGCATTGGACCCTGGGCACCCTGGCTCAAGCTGTCTCGCACCGTCTCATAGATGGCAAAGCGGGTGAGAGAATACGTCATCTGAAGAAGCAGAAAGAGTCACAAGGGGATGTGGCAATGGCTCATCAGAATCACAAATATCCATTGTTCACAAGTCACATGTAATCTCTTCCCCCTCCTCCTCTATCTGTGCTGATTCCTCCCAATTGCAGTGCCCAAATTGGGCAGCAATAATGTTTAGCAATCTATGTGTAAATAGAAAAATAAACAAATTAAGTTTAAGCGTGACATGCCTGTTCTATTTCTGTGCTCCGACCTCCTGCAAGGCACACCCCACCAGAAGATGAGAAAACAGTGTCAAAGTTTTGCCTGCTGTTTTTTTCTTATTATTGCTAAAAGAAAAGTTGCCCTGGCTAAATTTGCCTGCTCTTGTGCTTGTAAAAAAAACATATGGCAAGCATGACTGCAAGTGAACCTCTCTTTTTTCTTCAGATCCTGCTTAATGAGGAAAATCGCAAACACCAGCATTACAACCGGCATAATACAGAACAACCGATTTAGGCTGAAGAATCATCTTCTGCAGGACGTTTATGGAGTATGTGAAAAAAGCAACAAAGATCTTAAAGTGCAGAAGGAAAAAACCCGTCACTGTCAAGATATTATGAAGTGGAAATAATTAATTGCTGCAGCTCCGAGTTTATTCTCATCTGCACACATTACCCAATTCTTCTAAACTCTGGAAACACACAGGTTTATTTCAGAAATTTCCATACCTAGAGTTTGCCTGATCTATCAACATGGCTGTGGGTACCAAACACTGTTCTATCTTCCATCATTAATATTTTACAGGTATTTTGTTACAATTCAACAGTTTCAGAGAGTGCATAAAATTCATAAGCGGTTGGTCAGGAACTTGAATGTCATTGGAATGCTCAATGTATATTTTTAGAATGCTGGACAGAAGTGCTGAATTGTCATTGCCAATGGTGAAAGCAAGAAGCTGGCACAGGACACAAGGAGCGGGACGGCAGGTGATGAAGTAAGCCATCTTAGCCACAGCCAAACACTCACTTGTCGGCAAAGCGAGGCACTGAGCCCATTGTAGAGAGCTAGAAAACCATCGTTGTGAATCACACGTAGAGCCATCCCTGTCATGCGCAGCTTCACTTCCTGCTGAGTTTGCAGATGAACCTAAGTAGAAGTGGTAGATAGGTTAGGTCAGTGATGGCGAACCTTTTAGAGACCGAGTGCCCAAATTGCAACCCAAAACCCACTTATGCATCGTCGAGTGCCGGGTGGGTGTGGCCCATTGGCTGGGTGTAGCCCATTGGGTGGGCGTGGCTGTGGTGGTAACGGCAGACTGGGTGGGACTAAAAAGTTCAATCAATCAATTCCAACTTTGCAAGATCTTTTTTTTTCCCGCGAGAAGTTGAAATTGACTGAACCTTTTTTTTTTTTTTTTGCACATGACGGTGGAGGTCTAAAGCAAAAAGGTTTTATAAAACCCAGCTGAAGGCCTAGGACTGGGGCGACGGCGCGCATGCCCACAGAGAGGGCTCTGAGTGCTGCCTCTGGCATCCGTGCCATAGGTTCACCACCACTGGGTTAGGTTGATGTTTTCTGGATATCATTTGCTGAGGGCATCCCAGGCCAAATAAGAAGACAATGTAACACTCCAGAAGCAAAAAGCCCATAAGATTGCCTCTATCTCTCTATCACAAGATCCCACAAGCTCATATTAACATTCGCTTTGAAACTTGTACTCAAAGAATAACCAGGGCTGGATTCCACTCGCTCGTGCTTAAAGAGGACATTTTGCCCTAGGCCTAAAGAGAAAAGATTCCCAGTAGCTATGTCTGATCTTTCCAGTTTTACATAAGAAGTAATACCTTTGATCTAGATAAAAACACTTGGATTCCTTTCTTTCTTCCAGGCTGGCTGGCTTTCAGCTACCTTTCTCTAAAATAAAATTCTTCCTCTCTAACAGGATTTGTTAACTGCTCAAATGGAAACATCTATCTTGGGTGTCCAACCTTTTGGGTTGTCTAGACAGCATTGAGTGAGGAGGGATTGTCTCGGGCCGCATATAAAATATATAATATAGTTAATGTATATAAATCACATAATGTTAAAAGTTTACAATCTTGGGGGACCGTATTACTAGCTTTTCCAGGACTGCATGCAGCCTGCGGGTTGGACATGCGTGATCTATCCAGAAGCACCAAGCACCAGTTACAACCACTCCAAATTCACTTCTTCTCCTTCTTTTGACAGAGCTCTGTCCTGCATTCCTCACTGCACATATAATTAGCACCGTTAACTTTGGATATTTTAACAGTGAAAAGCTACAGCACATCTTCCAGCCAGTGCAAAGGACCCCAAGGTTTGCACAGGACTTGGCAACATTGAGAGCTTGTTAAGCTATCCAGTTCTGCAGCATGAAATCCAACTTAACTGTTGCTCTATTTTATGCTGCTATAGAGCAGTTCAGGTTAATAATACAACCATACAAGTTCTAGGTGAAAGGCCCTCAAAGTTAATCAAACAACACAGCAGGGCTGTTTGACTTGCAGATTATTCTTCCTCCTGTAGAAGGAGGAGAGCCGAACAAGACAAAGAGGAGAATAGATGGTATGTACTGTAGGAGATACCAGGAGGAAACACAAACATTCTCAGTCTAGCAGCACAAATGTTCTTCCATTCCACCCAGTATGAGAGGAGTCCTAAGGGCAGAAAGCCTAATGAGTAGCTGGGAACAGGCACTAGGATGCCATACCCCGAGACTTCTAGCAACGTGGTTTATCAATTGGGGGTACTATCTAGAACATCTACTTTAACTAATCAATGACTTGAAGAAGCCTGTGATGAGAATACATATTAGATGAAGCTACAGAAGTATCTGCTGTCAGGAGAGGGCAATGAAAAGTTAGTTATGACTAAGATGGGCATTGTACCAAATTTCCAATGATAGTTCAAAGATTATTGTAGAGCATGAAATTGGAATTTGCTCCTCAAGCAGCCAGGCCAGCAGGTCAGGAACACAAAAGGATCCATGCAGCAGGAGGAAAAATTCTGCAGGAGTTAGCACCTTTGTGCTGACTTGAAGGGGCCAACAGCCAGGCAATGACAAGCAAGTGGAATTTTCCTCCACATAGACCACATTTAAGTGTGCCAAATGTTTGAGAAGAGGAAGGCATGAGTGAGATTATAGAACAGGTTTGATCTGGAAACGTTCCGGAGGCTGGATATGGAAATCGCAAAGCCCTCAAAGCACTTGTTCCAAAGCAAACTGCCTTGAACAGATTGAACAGCTGGACCAATTTATGTCACCTCTAGTCTTTTCTATGGGTTGACCTTGATAAGTGTCCCAAGGATATACCAGAGCTACTACAAGCAGGGTCAATGTTCTGCTATGGATACCACTGTTGTTCTCTCAGTCTTCTGCATCCTGTTGCCCTCCATAGGCTTTGGGGCTACAACTATCTGAATTTCTGGCAAGCATGGCCAAAAAACCCAGCACCAGGCAGCCTTAAGAACAACCATTTTTAGAATGCCATGTAGAATTCCATGGGAAAGAATAGGAGTTCAGAATGTTTTGGACAGGGCTGGAAACTATCATGCTTTGAAATTCACCTCATCTGCTAAAGATAAAATTTTATCATATAAACAGCCTGAAGCATAGCAATTTGTTACTCTTCAGATGGCTTAAACACCAATTCTTAAAAAAACATGATTAATAAATCTGCAATTCAAAAAACTCCCCCCCCATGCAAGATACATGTTTCTCAACTATATCCTCTTACAGGTAGTCCTCGACTTACGACCAAAACTGAGCCCAAAATTTCTGTTGTTAAGTGAGACATTTGAGAGTTTTGCCCCAATGCCGTTATAACTTTGAACAGTCACTGAGCAAACTGTTGTAAATTGAGGACTACCTGTATTTCAAAGGGAATTGCTGCATGTGCAATTCTGGTATATCCACTAAGAACTGAGGCTTGTATGCAAAGACAGGAAGACTCTCACTATCAGGCAATAAAGTTTCAAGCTAAAAAAAAATACAGTTCATTTAATGACTGTTCAAAATTACAACGGCAGTGAAAAAAGGGACTTAAGACCATTTTTCACACAACTGTTGCAGCATCCCCGTGGTCACATGATCAAAATTCAAACGCTTGGCAACTGACTCATATTTATGACAATTGCAGTGTCTCGGGGTCATGTGATCCTCTTTTCTGACTTTCTGACAAGCAAAGTCAGTGGGGAGGCCAGATTCACTTAACAACCATGTTACTAATTTAACTGTAGTGATTCACTTTAACAACAGTGGCAAGAAAGGTTGTGAAATAGGGCAAAACTGGCTTTACAAATGTCTTACTTAGCAACAGAAATTTTGGGCTCAGTTGAGATCATAAGTTGAGGACTACCTGTAGTTTACCAGGATCTGTTGCTTTGTTAAGAAATGTTTTGGTACGTTAATTAGATGAGAAAAATTGAATTATTCTTTCAGAAGTCCTCAGTCAATGACCTAGTCCAGGGGGAGGCAACCTTGGCTCTTTTATGACTTGTGGACTTCAACTCCCAGAATTCCTAAGCCAGCCAAGGTTGCCTATCCCCCTAGTCCAACAACTCTCAGGCAATTGAAGCAAGAAAGCATTGCCCAATTTCTCCTCCTCTAAGGCACTGTGGGAAGTAGAAAAGCTACACAAATGTTAAAAGAGGCGAGGAACACATTTCTTTGCCTTAGTGCTTGACCTCAGCATTGCGACAACTTGAAGGCACTCTCAAGTTCCTCGCTAAGGCTCCTGGGCAAAGCCTTTCTGGAAGAGAGCTTGTATAGTCAAGAAGAGGGAGCCCCAGCATCGCACCACAGCCACGGGTGCCAGTCCGCTCTCCTTGTCGTCGCCTGCCTCTCGCACGGGCAATTGCGAATTTCTCCAGCAGCAAAGAGATGAATGGAAGGAGGCAGCGCTTCCGAAAGGCGCCAAAATGGCAGTTGGGCAACCATTGCAGCCACGGTAACAAATGGGGATCCGCCTCTGGCCACACAACGCGCACGGCCTCAGGTAGCGGCTCTGACCTGGACCCTGAACTGATCAAGGAAGTAGCTGCTGGGAAGACCTAGTCATTAGCACTATCGCAGCCTGCTGTAAAGAGGCTTTCCCCGGAAATCGGCTGCAAGACAAGCAAGCGGCCGAGCAGGAGACTTCCCTCCCTCCCCGGACGCACCTTGAGTAAATCCAGAGGATGCGTGCAGCACGCAGCCCCGCAAGAGGCCAGGCCCCCGAAGTACCAGCGGGACACGCGTTTCTCCGCCATCCTGCCGGCGATACGTGCGTTTGCTGATCCCTCCCCTCCGCCTTTGGGATCCGGCAGCCCAGCCTCCGCTCCACACCCGACAGAAAACAGAGGCGGCCTTAAACAGGCAATGCCGACAGAGGCGGCCTTAAACGGGCAATGCCGAAGGAGGGAGTGCTTAAAAGAGCAACCGTGAGGCCAAAGGTGCGCAGCTGCAGGAGGGGCCAGATGTTTCCCGGGCTTATACTGGTTCCCGCCCGGGCTTCTCTTTCGCGGAGGGAGTCGCACTTCCGGGATTATTGTCATTAAAGTCTAAGAAGGCAACTCCGAAAACATTTTGACCGAGCCGCGAAACTCATTTTCCTCATGCACGTTTGTAAGACTGCCGCCTAAAACTATTTTGTGACGTTATTGGATATAGATTAAGCTGGTGTCGATTTTTAGTGATTGCATAGATTCTCCCCCCCAAAAAAAGAACTAAAGGAAAGGCTCAATCACACCGGTTCATCCGTGGTTGTAAACCTCCCACTTAGGCGAAATGGGCGTGTGGAAATTAAATAAACGCTTTTCCTGGGTTGGCACATAGTCTTTCACACAATTCCGCGTGCTGTCATATACCAAGTTCATATAGGGAACACTCTTGAGATCATGGAATAAGTCCACGGAGTTACTGCTTTCTGAAATTAACATTTACATAAATTGTGCAGTTTTTATTTCACATTGTTGGTATTAGGAACCTTTACAGTGTAAGGTAACAGGCAGTGTTTCTCAACCTTGACAATTTTAAGGCATGTGGACTTCAACTCCCAGAATTCCACAGCCAGCATCGCTGGCTGTGGAATTCTGGGAGTTGAAGTCCACATGCCTTAAAATTGTCAAGGTTGAGAAACACTGGGCTAGGCCTTTGGGACCACACAGTGATCAACAAGTGACGCTGGCATTTCAGGCTTCATTTTGCTTCCTCCAATTGATCAGAAAAAAAATCAAGTTATTGCTAATTTGGGGTTAATCAGGATTAACTTTTTTAAAACTATAGCATACATCCTAGAATGCTTGTGTTCTTGCCTTTACTGCATTGGCTAGTAATAAATAGGCATTATTGCTTCTTTCCTTTCCATCATTTCATTTTTTTTCCTTCCTATTGAAGGTAATTCTTCATTTGTTAGGTGATTTGTAATCCCAAAATATTTACGCCATAATAAATGTATTTGTGGTACCGTAAAACCTGTATGCTATGGAGCTATAGCATCACCTTTGGCATTAACAATCTGAACACTGTATATCTTGCAGCAAAGTCATCTTCAAGGCAATCTGTGGTCCAAGGTTCCTAAGATGGCGTTCATTTTAGAATAGAATAGAAGCTGGAAGGGACCTTGCAGGTTTTCTAGTCCAACCCTCTGCTCAAGCAGGAGAACCTGTACCATTTCAGACAAGTGATTCTCTAATTTCTTCTTAAAAACCTCCAGTGATGGGAGCGTCCACGATTGTTTTGAAGGCAAGCTGTTCCACTGGTTAATTGTCCTCACTGTTAGGAAGTTTCTCCTTAATTCCAGGTCGCTTCTCTCCTTGATCAGTTTCCAACCATTGTTTCTTGTCCTGCCCTCTGGTGCTTTGGAGAATAACGTGACCCCCTCTTCTTTGTGGCAGCCCCTCAGATACTGGAATACTGCTATCATGTCACCCCTATTTCTTCTTTTCTTTAAACCAGCCACTTTGCATGATTTACTGCTAGAACTGAATAAAGGTGTGCAAACCTTCCAGTTGTACCATTTTGCATCTGAAACAATTATTTTGAAAAGGGCTCAATCATTTCAGAACTGTTTCAAGTGCAAAATGCTTTCAAAATGATGTTAACAGTCTATTTCAGACTTAAAGCAGTACACAACTGAAACATTTTGCACACAATTGCTCGACTTTTTCCAGTACCACCAGAGTGTTGGCTCTTTGAGTTAACCAGGGATGCCATTTATAATTTTACTTTCTATGTAAAAAGAATCCCTTGCTCACTCTCTTAATTAAGAGTTGGAAAGGACCTTGGAGGTCTTCTACTCCAACCCCCTTCTCAAGCAGGAGATCCTGTACTATTTCAGACAAATGGTTGTCCAATTTCTTTTTAAAAAACCTCTAGTGCTGGAGCACCCGTAACTTCTGAAGACAAGCCGTTCCAAATTGCTTTAAGAGCATCCACAAATGCATTAAGAAAAATGGATAGTTTTACATATTCTGAGTAATCTTACTATCTTGATCAGACAACAGAAAAAACAGTATTTAGGATGAAACATTCCATCCATACTCTTATCATTCCAGTCTTGAAGGATGTAATTTGCTGCTTTCCAATGACAGTTGCAGACCCTAGCTAGCAATTTATGTGACAGAATAACCTTGGCTTGGCTTTAAATGAAAGTGCAACAACATGGACATTGGACTAAAACCACAGCTTGTTCCATTGGGTAAACTATCCAAAGCAAACTAAGAATATTCATTTTGACCAGAACAATGGCTTATATCAAATCTTCAAACAGGAGCCAAGATTGAGCAAACCACCATATTGCAAGACCCAGCAAGTGCCAAGGAAAAGATAGTTGTAGGCCAGGGGTGTCAAACTGCCGGCCAATGGAAGCCGTGCCCACCCCATTGCCGGCAATGGCAAAACTGTCCCGATATGTTCCGTGACGTCATGTGATGTCGCGAGTTTGACATGTCTGTTGTAGGCTGTGCTGATATAAATCATACCAAAAGGGATTAAGGGCAGGGGAGAGGAAAAGGGCCACCCACAGAAGAGAACAGTCATCAATCAGGGGAGATGGCTAAAGTTGAGGGGTCTAGCCATCTTCCCTAATATGGATATTCGGGGATCAAAAAAAGTTACACAAAGGGACTTGCAGAAGGTACTGTCCCTACCTAAGTTTAACCTACCCGGATTTGGAAACATTTCAGGAAGAAAAAGAATATTTTTTCTACTAATTCTAGCAAGTCACAACAGGGAAAGCTAACATTTCCACGCTGCTTTCCTTCTTTATTAAAAGAGAATCAGTTTTGCTTACACCTCCTATTGGAAAGATAATCTTAGATTATGACCCAAAATCTACAAAGATCCCACCCATCTGCTCCCACAAATGATTAAATCTGCAAGTTAAGAGGCAATGGTCCAAATACCCACACAATCTTGAGAAACCTGCTGGATGGAAAACAACAATAACATGCAAGAAAGGATCATCACACATGTTTTACAGGTGTTATCCATCATGTATATTCGTTATGAATACAGGTTTTTAACCACATAGCAGACTGCAAGGTGTGCTGAAGATTTCTTATACACTGAGCCATCACTGTGGGAAACTGCACAGCAGAAAAAAATGGGGCAGAGCAACTTTCCTGGAACCGCACAGTACTCCACCACCAGTCCTAAGGGATGGCTGACACAGAGGGTCCGTCCCCCGCTCTGCTTTTAAGTCCTTTGGCAGACAGGCAGATTCTTTAATCCACAACAACTGTGCCTCCAGCTGCCTCCAGAGCTGATTTAACCTTTTCTGCTTCTTCTTTACGAACATTTACTTTGATGTCTTGAGGGAGAGATTCCACCAACTTCTTTGCCTACAAGACAGAAAATGAAAAGGATAACACAACATTCAAGAGAAACTTCAGCTAATATAGTCTTTGTCTCCATATACTTTCTACTTACTTCCTGAATTTGAGGAGACAATGCAGAGCCCCAACATCTTTCCAAAGAAACATTTCCTAAGTTATGGTTCTAGGGTTTAGTAAACAGAATTCAAAGATTTGAGGAAATCATCTTTGGAGCTTTACCAGCTTCATTTGCATGGAGGAAGGGTGGAGATGCATACAAGGTCAAAAAGGCAAGAAGGGGAAAGTGATGTAAGTCCTGTGCCTTTGTATACATTCACACACAAGGGTGCAGGTTCACCTTGCTGTGACCTTTCTGCCAACTTGCCTTTTTTTTTTAGCCCCGCTTTCTCAATAGATACCACTGAGCTGCATGATTCATGACAGACCATGTGACACTCTATCTGAGGATCTTAATTTTACTTTGGCTCATTCCACATCATCTTTTTTCAGTCTCTATTGGCAACATCTGCCCCCAACTGGCAACATCAAAAAATTACAATAAGACTTCTATGGAAATCAAGTTTAGAAATGAACTAAGGCGGTTAAGAGAAGTAACATGTTTTAGAATATGTCTCTTATGGAACATATTATACTAACCCTACTTCTTGGAATTAGCTTCTTATTCATTCTCAGGCACAATGTAAGATGTTGATTTCTATCTATAAAACCCTATATCTTTTGGGACCACAGTATCTGGAGGAAAGCATCTACCTGCCAGACCTAGCTAAGAAATTACTGTAATCACTAAAGTTTCCACTAGTTTATGTCATCAAGGGAAGCAGTAGCATAAGGTATGGCATTTTCAGTGTCAGCACTAACTGTGGAACCTGCTTCCAAGATGTATAACTCACTCCTTTGTTTATGTTTTTTAAGCAAGCAATAAGTATATTTCCATCCAATGTTAACTTTGCTGATCACCATTTTGTTTATTTTCCTAACCATTGTGCTATTAGTGTAAGGCTCCTTATGCTTCAAAAGGCAGCATAAATAGTTCTATTAAATGAACAGTTACTATACAGGGAACTGTTGCTCCCATGATTCTAAGCATCAGGGTATTCTGCAAGCATTTCAAATAAACAGATATTCCCCCTTAATAGTATAATCTGAACAAATATAGTCTGAACAATTTACCTGGACAAGGTTTATGTTCTCCACATGGTTCTTTAATTCCTTGATAACTTTCACCTTGTCTTCAGCTTTAAACCCAGTCAACCGCACTGTAAAATTGATCTTTTCTACTTTTTCAACAGCTTCTTCTTCTTCTGCCTAGCAGATAAAAAGGAAAGAGAAACAATAATGCAAGTCTTTATTAGTTGTGTTCCTTTTGTCATTTCTCCAGAACTTTGATATTTTACTGATAAACCTAATGAAACATATTTGCCCATCCACATTAAGAAATCAATCTCATTCTGGTTTTTTGTTTGTCTGATCAGTGACTTTACGCTCTGCAACCAAGCTGACTAAATTTAATCACAAATGATAACTCACATCTTCTCCAGGCAGCGGGAATGATCACAACAAAAGCCAAAAAATGAATTCTGACTAGTAAGAAGCAAGTTTTTTCCCCAAACAAACTCATTGATTTCTCTTCGGGTCATGGAAAAGAGAGGATAGAATAAGAAAACTCCATCATTGAAAAGGCTTGTTTTCTTAATCTTAATTTAAACATTCCAATCTCCTTTTCTGAGAAATTGATGTCCTGCATGCTATTTTCTTTGGAAAAATCCCCTTACTTTAAGGACTCTTTCTTTCTTTCTTTCTTTCTTTCTCATTCCTTCCTTTTTCTTTTTCTCCTTCCTTCCCTCCTCTCTATGGAGCTGGTTAAAATATTTCTAAAATTGCTAATGAATTATTTCAGGTAAGAGCTAGTATGTGCTCCTTCTTATGCATGCTAAGTCTGCTGCAGACTTTGTAGTCCCTAGTTTTATCCAGGTTTAATATTCCTGGGTAATTAATATTTGTCAAATTTTTACTTCATCTTCACGTTTTGAAATTTTTATCACTATCCCACCCCAGTAAAAGTCCAAATATTTTCAAAATGTGAAAGAAAAAATAAAAGGAAAAGTAGTGCTGCTTGTGCCTTTTTGTTTGGTAAATGGAGAGAAGATCAAACAGCAAACTTGAGAAGAGTGATATAAAACAGCAGGGAGAATGGAGTAGCCTCTAAAAGGCATCTATCCATAATTACTACAGATATCCCACTGAATCTGGCAGATTTTGAGAACTGCTATAAGACTGTTTTGGGAACTCCCTGGACGTAAAACTAAGCAACCACTTTTAAAATTTGAGATGAATTTCTTAAAGATTTAAAAATATTTTCACTTGATTCACTCAAATCCATACAATCTTTTAGTCAGGAAGCAGATCTTAGAAAAATTGGGGCACTACAAAGATATTTATTCCATATTTAATGATGCAAAGCTTTAATAGCAAATTACATTACACAAGTGAGCAATAGAGACATAGTAATATCTAAAAGGGACAGCTGAAAAAAATAGCTGCTAAATCCATTATAATAAATATGTTATACTGCTTAACTTAGAATCACTCTTGGGACTGAAAAGTATCCAGTAAAACTATAGCTGCATAGAGAAGTAGCTAACTTGAACTCCTGAACATAATTTATAAATCTTTTTGCCCCATTCTATACTGCCAATCTTTCAGGAGTTTATTACAATTTCTTATCATTATGAATACCTACTGTGATGTTATTTTCATTATACCATACATCAGCTCTTTTAAATATCAAATGATGAACGGCAGTCTGTCTGCGCCTTTCACCTTCTTGCTTGCAAGTTTCATACCCACCTCTTCAAGAACAATGTATATTTGTTAACCAGGTGCATTCAGACCCTTGTCCAAAAACAATTACCATTTGGTTCAGGTAAATGACAAGATATAAAGCTGTTTGCTTACTGGTGCTGCCGACTGTGTTGCTGGCATCATCCCGGCTATTGGCATAAGTCCAATATCTTGGATCTTGAGAGTTTTCTGTAAATATAGAAAACATATTTTTATCCATCTTTTACATCACTTGTAATACTGAAGCAGGGATTATAACGCAAAGTACCATGCCCCATCGCTATAAGGAAAAACAAGCTACAAACAGCAGGAAATGTCTACTATCACTTTTTAATCTTTGATCTATTAATCACCCAGTTTCCAATGTAAAAAATGGTACCTTTAGCAACTCATTGAGGTCAGAAATCTCTAGGAGAGTCAGGTTAGCAATGTCCTGAACTAGCTGCTGAATCTTGGGTGAATATTCTTTTGGGGCATCATCCATACGGGGACTTGCCAAGACTTCACTACACTTTGAACATGTAGTCTTCAGCATCCGGATAGCACAAGCTTGTGATCGATGCTGCCTGTAGAAAATCAGAGAACAAAAGTTGCAGTTCACATTTCCCAACACACAGGTACATGCAAATGAAAAATATCTGTTGAAAAGATGAAGGAGGGATAACAAGGCAACCAAGATGGTAGGGGGAGAAGATCAATATTGGTTGGTGAATATTCTATTGAAAAGAAAAGGGGGGGGGGAAATCTCCCCAGCTATTTTATTAGCAAATTTTGACAAATTCCATTTTAGAAATAATCCAGTTTCAGAAACAGTGACTACTTTTAATAGCCTGAAATATTACATGGTAGGAGCTTTATAATGATTAGTTTTCATACCGCAAAAGGTGCGGTTCAAGTAATTTAAAACAGCCAACCAAAAGGTAAACTATAATATACTGTAGCATAAGTCTAATTTTTCAATTTTGCATGATTCGTTTTCATTTTTTTACAACAGTCTGCTCTGCTAGCCTGTTTCAACATGAGAAAGGACAGACTGTTTTTAATAATTAGGGATTAATGTGGGTAAATTTATTTTAAATGTGCATTTTATCCATGGTAAGAAATTTCTCAGATAAAATATGCCTGCTTTAATTCAATATTTTTGGCAACAATAGAAACAAGCCCCGCATGATCTATTAGAACTTATTTATGGATATTACCTGGACACACCCATAGTCTAGACCAGAGGTAGTCAACCTTGGCTCTTTTATGACTCGTGGACTTCAACTCCCAGAATTCCTGAGCCAGCATGACTGACTCAGGAATTCTGGGAGTTGAAGTCCACGAGTCATAAAAGAGCCGAGGTTGCCTACCCCTGGTCTAGACTTATTCTCTACTAGCCAGAGCCCCAAGTCAGAAAGTTTCTCGTTCAGATCTCACCCCACCTTACAGGAATCCACCATCAGCTTCTGACCCCTCAGCAAGTTGGGGTAACAGAGCTGACCTTTCAGGGATGCTTCAGGACTTATCAAAGTAAATTCTCCCTCCACACATCGAGAGTTGTTTAAAGGGAGCCAAAGTAACCTCCGCTGGCCCCCTGCAATTATACGCGCACCGCGAAGCAAGGGCTCCGTCTGCAGAAGCGAGGCAGGCGTTTGACCTTTATTTGGGCGTTCGGGCCTCTAGTTCGCCCCCACCCGCTTCTCTTTCCATTGGGGCATCGGTCACCTATCACGTACCGCAGTAACAGTCGGAGAGCGGTACCGAGTCCGGCCGCGGGAAACATGGCCATAGCGGCGGCTCCAAAAGGCAGCAGGAAGGAAACACCGACGGTCCCCTCTTTCTGCAGCGTGCACACCGCAAAGGGCGCCGGGGACGCTCTCTCTCCAATCATCTCTCTGGTTAAACGAAACGTCCAATCCCCAACGAGTTTGACTCTGTGATGTACAGAGCGTTTACCCGCAGGGGTAGTCAACCTTGGCTCTTTTATGACTCGTGGACTTCAATTCCCAGAATTCCTGAGCCAGCTTAGCTGGCTCAGGAATTCTGGGAGTTGAAGTCCACGAGTCATAAAAGAGCCAAGGTTGACTACCCCTGGTTTACAGGGTTGCATCTCGATGGTAAGCGGATGTGACGATTCAAGCCCATCTAGTGTTAGAAATGAAAACTGTGGGAACCGGAAGCTGTTTTTCACAGCGCCAAACTTTGTTACCCAGCTGCCATTGCAAGGCTCGGCGAACAAAGAGAAACTACGGTAAGGAATATTTGCAACCAAGGAATATTCCGCAATTCGGAGGCTTAAGCGGAAACAACTCCAGGCTGGAGTTTGAGTGCGCAGGCGGCAGATTTATAGTCTCCGCAGAGGGTTCACAGGATGGAAAATTATAATTTATGATTTACTGCTCCGCAAGGGAGGACTAATTTAAATTTTGCCCGAGGCAGTGAAATCAACAGATCAGACACGAGATAGTGAAATAGATGGAAATTTTTATTTCTATTATGTTTGATTTGTTTAGCAGTAAAACAATTACAGTATTTTGAGAAAGTGGGGACACAGTTTACCTGCGGTTCGTCTTATAGCAGCTTTTTTTTCACGTCAATTTCAGAGTCGTCTTGGAACAAAGGTTTATTTCAGGAAACACTGCATTTGAGTTACCGTACTGTACTTATTGGCACATATTAATACAAGTTATGTAGAGGTTTGTGTTTCATACAGAAAATAAAATGCTCTTTGGGTGAAGACCCAGGAAAAATTCTTGGCATGTACACACGGAGCCCAACCTGCCTTCTCCAGACAATAGTGTTTTCTAAATTTTATCATCTAATATCATCAACATGGCACAAAAATAAAGGAGAGAATATTAGTTTGGTCTTATAGCAGTGGTTCTCAACCTTTTTAATGCCACGACCCCAACCGGTCGTAAGTCGAGGACTAAACCGGTCGTAAGTCGAGGACTAAACCGGTCGTAAGTCGAGGACTACCCAACCAGTCGTAAGTCAAGGACTTTCCCTGCTTGGGAGCGCCGCGCATGCGTGGTTCCGCCCCCTGCGCCGGCCGAGGCGTAGCTGGCAAGCGGCAGAGACGGAGCAGGCCGACCACCAGCTGGCCCAGCCCAAGGGAGGTAAGGCATCTGCCGGAAAAGGGGGGAAAATGGCGGACAAAAAAAATGGCGGACAGCCTTGCTTGGCGACCCCCGTGAAATGGTTGATCGACCCCAAATGGGGTCCCGACCCACAGGTTGAGAACCACTGTCTTATAGCATATCCTGTTCTTGGGTATACTTAAAATGTGGGATTTGTAACAGCATGGCAACAATAGTCACTGGGCATTCATTAAAAAAATAGTTAAAAACAAAAATTAAGTAGGATTTTCCATAGCAGAATTTTTTTTTTAGTTTCACCCTAACAATTCTTTATTGCAACAGCATCTAACTAACCCTGACTTTGAAAAAGGTTGGACCTGGTTAGTACTTGGATAGATTAAAGCTGTAGGCTACCCTGGAAAGCTGAGAAAGGCAATTGCAAACCAGTTCTGTATTACTGTCAAGTCATTAGGATTTGGCTGAAGGAATCTTTTTTTTATTGACTTCCTCATAAAGTAATGATACAATTCAAAATACAAGCCCTGTCACTGAAGTACTATGTACCACTAGATAAAAAACTTTCCAGGTATATCTTAGGAACTATATACTCCCTCCCTCCCCAAATTGTTTGTGGCTTTAGGTTGTCCTAATTTTAGATCATAAGATGCATGAAAACAGACAGGAAGACCATAATGCAGTAGCAAAAGTGAGTGCAGTTAAAACCTTCCATAAATTGCCTGAATAGAAGGGACAAAATATGTGGCTTTTTTTAAACGAGACAACTGTACTGATGTACAACAATGTTCCTGTTTAATTTAGGCCATATGAGTAGAGCTGAAGACAAAAAAAAGGTAGATAGTAATTTTGAAAGAACTGAACAACACTTGTTCAGCAGCCACAATGATGCTGGTTCCCCATGATTAAGAGAGATACTAGTTGAATACATAGATTAAATCAGGTCAGGGAGGGGCTAATTTTCTATACATTTTGCCAAGGCCTTTATTGCTATTACTTTATTGATCAATGCAGCTTCTCAATAGAAATATACCAAAGTCTATAATGTCAGTGGGTAGATGCTGGACTTTCTGGAATATTGCAGAATGGAAAACCAAATATAGGGAATCCAATTTTATTAACTCATCAAGAACTCATCCAAAAGCCTGCTTACTATTGTTGAAGACATAATGGAGGCTCCCTTTCCTAGATGGACTAATGCTGATGCAGGCTGAAGTACAAGGTGTTCAGAGCATGAAAGTAATGTTTCTCTAACGGGAGATGAGGAGGAGCCTCTGAAGGTTAGAAATCTGCTGGCTTCAATTGGTCTGGTGGGCCAGTGGAAGGATTTGTGTAGGACTTTGTACCTCCCTGGTCCTTGTATTCTAGATACAAAACTTTTGGATATAAAGCTAGATACTTCTAGATTCTTCCGTTGGTAAATGGGTGAAAATTCCCTGAGTTCTGGAACACAGCATGTCTCTTGTATTCTTGCTGGAGTACCTCAGTAATCACAACCCAGTGACATATTTGGTAGAATGCACATTTATGCAAAGACTAAAACTCGAGCACAGGGATTGTTAAAAAAAAAAAAAGACAGACTAGGAAAGTTTTAAATACTTATTTTTATTGTCACTGATTCCATTCTGTCTACACCAGCCACTAAGTATGAGACACAAATCTTCAAAGCAGAAGGACAAATAGGTTGGATGGGGCGAGGACTTAAAAAACATACTGGATTGGGATAGACTGTGTCCAAGAGAGGGGTTCTAAGAAGACATGGAGAGAAGTGGTGGAGAGATGTCAAAAATTAGTGGGGAAAGAAGTTGAGTGTGCTAGGCAAAGTGAAGGTCACTTGCTTGGCTAGATGTGACTGAGAGAGAGAGAGAGAGAATGCGGGCTCAGGGCCATGCCATACACTGGATCTCATAAATTCTGACTCTGGAGCATGCTTAAATGCTATTTTCCCCCACAAGAGAACAGTTTCCTGAATGATCTAGCTCTACCAGTGATTGCTTGAGAACTAAGCTCTGTTATCCAACTAATAAAAAGCTAGGTGAGTTGGGCTGTGGGCCACTCTCTCTCCACAGCTGAGTAGCAGCATATATAGGATGTTACAGATTCTTGATCCTGGCAGCACTTTAGACAGACGGAATGGGAAATTGCAGACAGACAGTGGGAAATTACCCAACACCAAGGACTCAACTCTCCTCTCACCCCACTGAGGGCACAGCACAAAGGAACAGCAATGGTGTAGCAAGTACAGCAGTGACCAACAAATGATAGCTTTACAATGTTTTAGAAACCCATCCCTCCCTTGCCTTGTAACCCAAGAGATTAGTCAAAGGAAATAAGCTGAGCCTCTCCACCTCCCCCTTGTGCTTGCTGCACCTGGGGAGGGGTCTGCTGGGGAGGAGGCTGTTGTTGCGGAGGCCCTCCGGAAGGTGCCATCTGCAAAGGATAAATGGAAGCGAGCACAGAGTGAGACAGCATTTCTTCCAGTGAAATTCCTATAGGAAAGGAATCTGCTCCGTTAGCTCAAGGGTTGGCAGAGTCATTATCTTAATACTAATAAGGGGAAGGAATTCAACACATTGTCCTTAGTATTTAGTGGGGGTAGGGGAGAGGGAGATTGCCCTGAAAATTTGCTCAAAGACTTGCCTGTTGATACATAGGCTGTTGTCCTGACAGGTAAGGCTGCTGGGGTGGCAGGCTACTCAGACCTGATTCCTGGCCAGGGTGAGTTGGCATAAGGTTCTAGCAGAAAAAGAGGGTGTCAAACTTTGCACCAGAATTAAGTAGCCCCTTCTTGCAATGCAGCCACTTGGCCCTTACATATGAATTTTCCTACCTCCATGAACATCACTACATATTCCCTGTTCATCTTCCTGCGGATGGCCTTCCCATTCATGGAGTTCAGCAAAGGAAACAGTAATTAAAACAACTTTCTCACCTGCATGTTGTAGGGCTGGTATCCCATTGACACTGACTGACTGCCCATGTAACCCATAGTACCCCCAGACTGGGGAGCCGCTTGTGTCATGGCAGGCATTGTCTGCGTTTGGGAAGGGGCGGCTGCATTCTGCAAGGTAAAGAAGATGGCTGGAGCAAGATGTTCCCTACATAGCAACTTTGAGTAGAAAATTTTGATACCCAGAAATTTCCAAAGAAAGTCTAGATCAGCTTCAACATACAAACAAAATATTCAAGATCAATCATACCTGGTAGCCCTGCGTAGGTGTGGGCTGATAGGAAGAATAGGCAGGATTTGTGGTGGGCACTGCCTGTCCCTGTGGAGCTGGTTGGGCGCTATTATTGCCTGTGGAATACATGTAGGTGCCCACCATGCCAGGATCTGAAACACACACATAAGAGATGAAGGTCACCCTTCTGGGCTGAGTTTCGTAGCCTTTCAGCAAAGGATTGTGCTAAATCCACACCCACTCCTTCCGACTTCTACTACCTGTTCCTGCCACAGGCATTGCAGTGTAGGGTCCTGTACTGCCCTGGGTGGGCTGGCTCATGTAGACCGTGTGCATGGGTGAGCTCTCCACGGAACTTGCTGGGCTGAAGGTGCCTGGGAAGCTTGTGGGTCCTGATGGTTGATAGATCACTCCGCTGGCGGGAGGCATGGCCTGCAGCTACGCACAGAAAGCAAGATTGGTTCCCGTGAACTTTGCAGGCGGGGAAGGGCAAAAGGAATCCTTGGCTTCTCCGGTCTTCTTCCACTCAAATACCTGTGCATACGGCAAGGAGAAAGCAGGCATCTGTGCCCTCA